ATCACTTTGCGTATGACGAAATATTGCGAGGCATTAGAGTTAAACATGGAAGGGAGTTTTATCATATTTATTGCTATATGGTATTTTAGTTGGCTTTTGTGCATGGGTAATATATTGATATAACTCGAGTTTTAACAATGTCAGTTTTGCATTAACATTGATTTTTTTTTCCTTTTCAGGCTATCAGTCCACGCCATTTACTACTAGCGTGACGACTATCATTGTGTCATCACTTTACACCCTAACGTAAAAACATAACACTATTTTTTTAATGATGTTTCGTGTATCCATTATCGTATTATCACTTTACAATGAAAAAAAAACGAAAAAAAGAAGAAGATATTTTCGGATGTAGTGCGACTCGATGGGATGATGATGGTGATATTAAGTGAAATACGATACGAGGCTAATTTAATCACTTTAGTTGTATGTGATAAAACAAGTGAGTGTTCAAATTCCCTTTATTGTTATTATTGCGTGAAATGTGATGGTGTAGTGTAGCCTTAACTCTCTCTCTCTCTCGTAAATGTGATGGTGGTGTAGCCTTAATAATTCTCTCTCTGGTATTCAGTGCACCTTAGCTGCCATCCGTGTCTCCGTGACCTTCAAGCAAACACCAGGTCAACAGAGGCAGTCCACCCCCTCGCCCGAACATGTGTCATGACTCACGCATTTTTACCACAGACCTCACTCCTATGGTGGCGTCAAGGGAATAACAAATACTTAGGGACTTGAACCGCTCCCTCTCTTACTCTGAACTTAAAGTAACGGGATTGTGTAATCAACCTCCTTAACCTAACCTAATGTGATTCAGTGTAGACAACCCTAACTTAACCTAATGTGACTCAGTTTATCTAAACCTAAGTTAATCTAAATGTAACTAAACCTAACTTAACCTAACCTGGTCTTGCCCTTACTTAACTTAAGGTCACTCAATGTAATCAAGCCTAACTTATCCTAGCCTGATCTTGCCCATACCTAACTTAATGTAACCAAGCTTAACGTAACCTTGTCATACCTGTACATAATCAAACACCACATATCTTTGCCCCTTATCTAAATTAACTAACCTAACCTAACCTAACCCTTACCTAACTAAAAGTAACCCATCCCAACATTGCTTTTCCTAGTATTAAGAGTTCAAAGAAACTTGGAGAAAAAAAAATATTTATATATAAATATCGACAAAAGAAAGAGCAGCCATAATTATACGGTATAGGAACGTTAATCTTTCCCTCGGTTTATTTCACTTGAAGATTATCTACCCTAAGGATACCTAGGGGCTGGGTTAGGTTAGGTTAGCTTCACAGTGATTTATCTTCAGGTGAAAGAAGCTGGGGTGCCTAATCTTCAGTTGATCTCACGTATATACCATGAGGAGCAGCGGATGTTCCAGAAAGTAAATAAACACAATAGTATTCACAGTTGCATGTAACCAACATTCACGATTTAATTAATTCTTAGAAACATAAAAGCCCCATTGTGAGATTTTCTTCCTGTATTAAAATATGTACTGAACATGTTAGTTTTTAATTTGCATAAAAAAACATACACGTGTATGCAGACGGCCGCAGGCTTAATGCTAACACTGAGATGATCAGATAAAACTAATTGTAAGTTGGTCATTTCCTTGGATGGTGTGGAGTGTACGACCTTATTGCACCAAGGGTCAAGGTCACGCCCTCTGCTGGTCGTGTGTAGGGGAATTCGGAAGGGAAAGGTGTAAGACAGGTCACCTCCAGGGAGATAACATGGGTCTACACCACCAGTTTGTGACCCTAACCATCTCACCTTCCTCCTACCTACCTTCACCCTTTGAATATTTTAGTTTACCTCCTCAATCCTCCCCATAACGTTTTCTGTCACCACCCACCTTGCCAAAAATATACCTAAAAAGGCAAAACAAAAAGAAAACGTGTTTGGGTTTGTTGCATCAAGGTCTATCACTCTTAAATTTCCAGTTCATTGTCACAACATTAAAGAAATGACGATAAATTATTCATTCTGCACAAGACGACAAAATGCGTTATTATTCCTAACTATTAAAACTATTAAACGTAACCGATTGTTATGAACTAAAACTAACCAGTTCTAACTAGCATAACCAGTTCTATTTAGTATATTTAATCTATCATAAGTAATTACGTCTAACCAGTCCTAATTAATTGCACTGAACAAATAGTATCCTTTATACTTAGAATTAAGATTAATTACATCTGGAAAATCCTGAGATTATTTACCACAGAACAAATCCCAAATTAATCCAACAAAGCGAATTCATGAATTAATAGCTGCCAACTAATCCTAAAGGAATTATACCAAACAAGCCACAAATTAATTACTACCACAAAAATCCAAATTAAATAGAAGGCTAAAAAATCATAAATTAATTGCAAGTTAATGAAAATCAAAATTAATTTAACCTAATTAATCCTAACATCACGACACCTGATACATCTTGAATTAATTATATTCAACAAAATCCTATCCTAGTTCATACATCTTCATTACACACACACACACACACACACACACACACACACACACACATATATATATATATATATATATATATATATATATATATATATATATATATATATATATATATATATATATATATATATATATATATATATATATATATATATATTATCGGGATACTCATCTTTATAACTTATTCATATTTAATTTATTTTGCTACACAGTTTAATAATAATGTTGTGAATAATGTATGTCATAAATTCTGTATATTAGTGATAGTTGTGTCACTGTGCATGGTTATCTTGTACAAAGGTCCCCCACACAGATACTACACCCTCCACACACCAATTACATAAAAACCCATCAATTTTTCCCCATAACAAAATCAATCCAAAATACCTCTAGGAAAAATTCCCCCAAAACTCAATGATCAACTATGCGTACAAAATTACGCTTGTCAAAATTCTATCGACATGGATAAAAATTTCTAGAATCCCTACCAGGTTAGATTAGGTTTGGTTACGTTAGTTTTGGTCAAGTTAGTTTATGTTAGGTTAAGTTAAGTTAGATCAGGTTAGTGTAGCTTAGGTTAGTTTAAGTTAGGGTAGTTTATGTTTGGTTAGGTTCAGATGTTTGGTTAGATTATTAGGTTTGGCTACTTAGTTTAGGTTAGGTTATGCTTTTTTTTCGGTTAGATTAGAGTAAGTTAGTTTCAGTTAGGTTAGATTAGGTTACGTAACGATAAGACAGATAAGTTAGATTAAGTTAGACAAAGTTGATTAGGTTAGGTTAGAATTTGATAAGTTAGATTAAGGTAGAATAAAGTTGATCAGACTATCTTAAGTTAATCTAAGTTAGGTTGAAATAACTTAAATACGATTAGGTTAGGTCAGGTCAGAATAAGTTATAACTGATTAATATAACTTAGATAAGATTAAAGAAGATAGAACTGACTAAACTAAGTCAGGTTAATGATAAATTGAATTAGAACTATAGTTAATGTGTATGACGCTATTTTACGTTAGGTTAGGTTAGTTTACATTAAGTTTGGTTAATTTACGTCAGTTTAAGTTAATTTAATTTAGTTCAGGTTAGGTTAAGTTAATTTAAGGTAGTTTATTTTGTTACATTAGGTTAGGTTTGGTTAGGCTAGATTAGATTAGGTTAGGTTAGGTTAGGTTAGGTTTGGTTAGGCTAGATTAGATTAGGTTAGGTTAGGTTAGGTTAGGTTACAGTAATTGTGTCTTACCTTTAAGAAGTCATGAGGCTGATCGGTTTAGTCTATCACACCTGTACTAACTTTACTACCTGGCTCACCTGTTGTTATTTAATTAATTACCGTAACTACTTTAAGACACGTGATGTTCACCGTGCGTGTGTGTGTGTGTGTGTGTGTGTGTGTGTTTGTGTGTGTGTGTGTGTGTGTGTGTGTGTGTGTGTGTGTGTGTGTGTATTTTGGCCACGTAGATACAATCCCAAAAGACCTCTTGGACAAAAGTACCACGTGATAATTTGCATATTGGACAAAATTCGACCAGAATGGACAAAATACTATCCGTCATATATTACTGGACAAAACCTCACCTGACATATAGTACTGGACAAAACCTCACCTGTCCTATAATACTGGACAAAACCCCACTTACTATATATTACTGGACAAAACCCCACTTACTATATATTATTGGACAAAACCCCGCTTTCTATATATTACTGGACAAAACCCCACCTGTTATATAATACTAGACAAAACCCCACTTGTTATACATTACTGGACAAAACCCACTTGCCAAATAATACTGGACGAAACCCCACTTGCCATATAATACTGGACAAAATCCTACCTGCTATATAATACTGGACAAAACCTCACTTGCTATATAATACTGGACAAAACCTCACTTGCTATATAATACTGGACAAAATAACACTGAAAACAAAAGCTTGACAAAGATTAATTTACGTCAGATTATTCTATGAGTCTGGTAGTGGAAATCTGTTCAATGGGATTTTCATCTGTAGGATTTCGTTTCTTTCTTTCAGTCAAAATCCAAAGGTTCTCATAGGCTCGTTAGTTTAAATTTTCCATCGTAATTCGAAACAAAAACGCATCTTAAGTGATTGATGTAAACTAAAACACAAATAAAACAAAAATCACTGTTAAAATGGTACCAATATTGAGACTCAACCTGAAGTAGAAGACGTTCACTAAGCACAACTTGCCAGATCAAAAATAGCATTCAAAATCTGTGTAACAAAGAATTTCGTGATATTTCATTGGTATTGAATAAGATCGTTTTTTGTGATTGTAATTCTTAATATCACGCTAAAAATAACAAAGAACCTCCATATACCATTTTTGTTGGTTTATTATTGATAAATCAGTTAATAACACGAATAACATAACACAACACAGGCAAAAATATCCCCCCCCCCCCATAATATGTACTTTTTTAACTGTCTTATTGGAAATATAACTTTTAATTCAGGTAATATAAAAACTATAACCATCTTACCTTAATATTTGTGGAGATGGTGTTGTTCAGTGGTAATGGTGGCTGTAGGCCTACACGTTATCAGCTGACGAGTGGGTTATTATGATGTCCGCGAGGTACTGTCACTTATCTCCTCATCAGTGCTTCATGACCGTATATACGAGGTCAAAATTTCCACATGTGACTATCATGTACCGGGTAGTTAGGCCGGTATCGGTAATATTGCGGAGGTTTCTCAAGTTGACGTAATGAGTGATGGTTGTGAGGTGTGGTGGCGGGGAGGGGCGCGCGGGAGCCACTGCGGTCTTGGCCTGGCTCGTGTGCCCGCGGCCTCTGCTCTTCGCCCTTTGATTTTCCCTCGCCTGGATGTCCTCGGTGTCTCCCCTCCCTCCCGCGCGCCCACACATGCGCACTCGGCCTTCTCCTCCCTCTAGCGCCAGGACAGCCCACTCCCCGCCTCCACCCAGACCCTAATTGGAGTCATTACATTGGTTAAACTTACATGTCATCCAATCGATCAAGTTTGCCCGGGAAAAAAAAGGCGCGAACGCCGAGCTGTGGCGCGCAGCTTTCCCGCCCAATTATTGATGACTTGTGGTTAAACACGGGGCTCGCAGGCCAGTGCACGATAATTTGGTGTTGCTTATGTCGGCCGGAGATCAGAGGGGTTCATCTCCCACCACCAGACCTGCCGGCTCAACACTCTTCACACACTACAAGATACCAACACTGCCATCAGACGTCTCTCACACATGTATGGTCGCCCTCGTCATCGTCTCTCCAATTTACCTTTTATTAACTGTAGGCAATTTATATACATCCTTAAAACTCCTTAAACCCGACACTGGAAGGATCTTGGTGTACTTCCTTAAGGGTGTGAGTGTATATGTGAGGACCTGCTGGGAATTGGGTGTACTCAGCAGTCTCAGCGCCACACTCAACCACAACACCCACCCAGGGATTAGTCATTACCGCTCCACGCATTTACTTGCATCTCATGATTGGCCAACCAGGTATAATGAAGGTAGCTGATTAGCCACGCGGATAAGGCGGTACGGGGAGGATAACTTGGGTATATCTTGTTGGGTTGGATAAAACATAAGTCTATCAGACCTAAATTACTTACCTAACCTAACCAAACCTATCCCATCCTATCCTAACCTATCCTAACCTAACCTAACTTCATCTTACCAAACTTAAAATTTCTAACCTTACTTATATAACTTACCATAACTCTCCTAACCTACATTAACGTAAACTTTCGAACTTACCCGAGCGTACCTGACCTGATTTAACCGAACTGAACTTACCAGACTAAATCTTATCTCTGTGTTGAAGACAGGGACAAGAGTTAGCATACTGAGAGAGAGAGAGAGAGAGAGAGAGAGTGATGTATACACTGAAGCATCATCACCTTTCTAAACACACTGTCACGTAGCTGTATATATTTTTAGTTACTCATACAATTGCGCCTAAAATATCCTCGACACTTAGCAACATCTGGCAACTACTTAAGGGTCACATACTGTACATGATTGGTTATAAGTTGGTGTACATAAAGACCAAGAAATAATAATAATAATAGCATCGACGTTACGCTTAGACTCTAGTACAGTGACTAGTGGCTCTCTCATATACTATAAAGTGTTTTTACGTGGCAGGGCCTTGGAATTTACAAGATGTGGCTCTGGGATTTACAAGGTGTGGCTCTGGGATTTACAAGATGTGGTTTTGGGATTTTACAAGATGTGACTCCGGGATTTACGAGGCAGGGCTATAGGATTTACTACACAGAAGTCTGGGGAGCTATTTATTTTAATACGGTATGTTCCCGTCTCTCTCTCTCTCTCTCTCTCTCTCTCTCTCAGTTAAATTTTCGTAAACCCTATACTTAGATTGTAATAAGCATAGCATTAGGTTAGGTTAGCTTTAGGTTACTTTAGCGTAAGGTTAGATTATGTTAGGTTAACTTAGGTTAGGTTAGAGTTAGGTTACGTTAGCGTTGGCTAGTTATAGTGTTGACCTTAGATTACGTTAGCAAGGGTTAGGGTAGGTTAGCGTTAGATTAGCATTAGGTTTGCGTAAGGTTAGTTAACATTACAGTAGTTTAGGTTAGCGTTAGATTGGGTTAGCATATATAATATTATAGATATATAACAACTGAAATACAAATGTGATTGAGTCCACCAGAATTATTTTTAAATATTGCATTATCCTCGACAAGGTATTTTGAATCTCCTCAAAAACTTAAAGTAAAAAAGAATAATGAAAAACTTGTGTGCATAAACAACCAGGAGACCAAAATGATGTGGTTAATGTCAGAGTGTTTAGGGCGACTCAGCTCGACTATTCATAGTCTTCTCCTAGGTACAAGGTGTCAATATTTTAAAGTGTTCTCTCCCGGAATACATCAGCTTGATCTTTTCTTTCTGAACTTCCTCATTTGTTTATTTTGTAAATGTCACGATGCTTATATTATGATATTTAGGAACACGTAAATGTAGAGCTGCACCTCCCAATCCTTCAAACTCTCCTGCCTAAGTTTTTTTTCGTGACTGAGGAGAGAGAGAGAGAGACAAGTGTTCACAAATAAGATATATAATTATTGAATCACCTGAAGATTAGCCCCTTAGCTTATTTCACCTTAAAATTTACCACTCTAACATTAACTGAACCACTGCTTCTTGTCCGGTCAGCGAAATTAAGCAACAATGGGTCTGGTTAGTACTTGGATGAGTGACCGCGTGGCCCGAAGAACGCCAGATACTGCTGGCATTAGGACTCTACTGGAAATAAGCATCTCATGGCTTTGTCAGCTGTCCCTTGTAAAATTGACTAAATTCAGATCAAAATTAACCTATTTTAACCAAAACTAACCTAACCTAACTTAACCTAACCCAACCTAATCTATCATAACCTAACCCTCCAGATATCATTAGGGTGTTTAATCATCAAGTAAAATAAATAGGGGTTCTAATCTTCAAGTGATCCCATTTATCATTTTAAGTCAACAAAGTCCATCTTTAGTTAGCGTCACCTTCGACAGCATACTCAATAACTTCAAGAATAAAGGGATAAGGTAAGTTTTACATCGTGTTACTTTCAGCAGCTCTCTCGGTGATCTGTATACCTGGCAGAGGTAAGCAGAAGCGTGGAGAAGGTTTAGGTCCTTGTGGTCGCCTCACGGTCCACATGCTCCTCTTGGGCTTACAACTATCCCTATCTCCACCCTGACAGCCGAGGAGTGTAATTGATGCAGCGCAGAAGTTATGGATGATTTGGGTAAAAAATGATTGATCAGCTCAGTTGTAAATGCCACCGCGCTTAAATTTATACCTTTTTACTTTTACTTTACTTTTATCCTCTTTACCACTGATCGGCTCGTTAACCGTTTGGGCGATCGGCCACGTCTCTGTTACGCACTGTTGGCAAGTACTGGGCATGCACTGGCTCCTGAATGTATCTGAACCTGCTCCAGTGCTTGTATGGCACACGCTACAAACCAGTGTTTATTGTATTTTGCACCTTTAATGGTCATAATAGTCGATAGTTTTCAGCAATGAGTAAGTCTCTTCCCTTTAGTTTGATATCACATCTTTTCGTTTCTTCAAAATTTCAAAAAAATATTCCTCTGCGCCCTCAACTGACTGGTTCAGGTCTAGAATAAAGTATCACAACACTGGCAGGTTGGCTAGTTACTGATTATCATTACTTGTATGTACTGTATATACTGTGTGTGTTGGTGGTACAGCGGGAACGCGCATAACTCTCACTAATATGTCAAGGGCTCGTGCCTCGGCCCGGACACACGTGAGAAGGGTGTTATCCAGAGTCACCCTACCAAACACCATAGGTTTCCCGGTCCGCGGTTTCCTCCTGTACCACCACTGGATAAACCGCCCAAACGGCTAGTAAGCTGATAAGTGGCGAATATGATAAACAAAACAAAACAATGTGAATTGGTATGACGATTTTAGTGAATAATCTATCTGCTTATCTGCTTATTAGGGCCTATCTCGATTAAATCTTTAGAGGGCAGCTCTACACTTAGGTATTTTATTCTGGCTAACGCAAGACGATTTTATTCAGCTAAGAGAAACCCCTTGCCCTCTAAAACTGGCCCTATTTGACTCAGTCAGCCCGTGTGTAAATCAAAGAAAACTGATAAAAAGGAGTAACTTTTATAATGTATATGCGTGCTACATCGCAACTACCGTCGATTTCTTTCTAATCGGAATAGTCGGCAATCCTTCTTCAATGTCCTCCTGTGTATGCAAATGTATTGTTAAGGAAAATAAGGCAAAATAATTAAGGATAGTTGTCTTCACTCACAGCTCGGTGCCTCACATACGCATTCTTGCTAACAGTGCGTAACAGAGACGTGACCCACTGCCCAAAAGGGTAACAGGCCGATCAGTGGCGAAGATGATAAAGAAGAGCAAAGAAACTAATTCAAGGCTTATTTCCATTGGTATTCTTATCTTAATGAGACCCAAAATAAATCTATAGATTTAACTATTTATATCATTATCCCAGCCTCGTTGTCAAAAAATATGGAGGTGGTAGAAACCTCTGGGATGCGTTGTGCGATTTTATTCTATGGCGGTTGGTGAGTGAAGGCGTAGCTGACAAAAGGCTTTAAGCAAGGGTGGACCCAGTGCGTCCTGTAGGACCGGACCCCCCCCCCCCCTTTCACCAGAAAATTCCAATACTTTTTCATTAATGCAGTATTGTACTCGGGCATATTTGTATAGTAAATAATATTTACTATTGACTTCAGAATATCTCCTAATATCAAGTGCGCATAGCTTCAAAATTGCCTCAAAATGGCTTCGAAATGCTCGTAATATTGGTCAAATTAAAAGAAAAAAAAAAGAAACAGCTGGGTGGGCTCGCTGCGCTCGCCATGTTCCCCCACCCACAACTTTTTGGACCTCCCCTTTTGATATTCCTGGATCTGTCCTTGTTAAGCAGTCTTATAAATGCTGACCTAAATAAAATATGGAGAGCTCAGCGGTTCTCAGCGCAATATTCTTTACTTTTAAACTTTTCGCCACTGATCGGCTCGTTAGCCGATTGGGCGGTCGGTCACGTCTCTGTTACTCACTGTTGGTAAGTACTGGACATGCACTGGCTCCTGATTGTATCTGAACGTGCTCCAATGTTGGTCAATTCTGATCTTGAAAGAGTTCACACTCGGTGCCGTCACAACAATCTCTGGCAGGTTGTTCCAAGATTTCACAATTTTCACTCAAAAAAAGTTTGCTCTCGCAGTTTTCTGGACTTGAGGCTTCTTCAACCTTGTGGGGCGAGCACATGAGTGAATATCCGAGTATATTATGATGTAGATTATACAGCAGTTTGATTCCTTAGAAGATATACCTCGGTTATTAAAATTTGATTGATTGAAATATGCAGTATACTGTATCAATAAATGGCGGAAAATAAAGAGTTTAGATTAGGTTAGGTTAGGTTAAGTTTGCGTGAACAAATACGGTACCAGCAGAAATATAAAAT